ATTGTAATTGTACTGACCCAATTAGATTCTTCGTTAGGTTCAAATTCTCGGTCAAAAAGATTGCTACAGGTTACAATTTCACGCTTTATAGATTGGTAGTTTTGGATAGTTTTTGTGCGTATTCTAAAAGAATTTCCCCATCTYTCACAAGTGTACAATCTTGGTGTACATTCTAATAAATGTTCAGTATCTGAAAGTTTTTCTTGAAAAACGTAAGGTTATCAAAATAACGCACTAATAATTAAATAATTATCTAATTGTAATAAATATACCAGTTTTAACCAAATTATACTCCATGGCTGCAGCCATTTTATCAACAAAAAAGTCTTTATTCTGTTTGACAATAGGTACCATTAACAGTTGGGCCATCTGTCTAGGAAGAATCATTGGGTATCTAATGAATGACATCACATGTTCTGTTAAGCTACTCATGTATTCTTCAATTGTATCTGAATCATTACATTCAAGTAGTTTTTCTGCAGACTGGTAGTTTAACCATGATGCAACACATCTATGACACATTTATATATTATAATAAATTTTAAGTTTCATCAATAAGTAACATACAGTGACGCAATTAGTGGCTGAAGATGCTATGGAGATAAGTCCCCCCCCCAAATTACTTTGGATAACATCAAGTCATCAACACAAATTAGAAGAAAAAAACATCATAACTTTATATTGTTCACTATTTAAACTTTAAAGGAATTACCTATGTTTAATTTTATATTTTAGAATATTGTATTAACTACAAAAGACAGAGGTATAACTCGCTCTCACCCATAGCACATATTCAGATGATACATAATATTGTTAACAAGGRRACACTTATTACAAAAAAAAATAGTTGATTATCTRTGTAGTGTATAATGTGTATAATATGACAAAAAGTGTTGGAGGGCAGAACTCCTGTAGTACACATTTGGTTGATAATATTATGGTAAGGCCTCACCTCCTCTCCGCCAARGTTTATAATCTAATTGCGCCATTGGTTATATTAAAATTAAATTTAAAAATTTACCCAAACAACTGCATTTCATCATGTACCACAAGATCAGACTGTTTCAATAGCCCAACAAGAATATCACATTGAAATGTATTGAAACATTTGATACAAGAATCAAGATTCCATTTTATATAATTTCTGCAAGCCTAATTGTTTAATTTGTATAAGTATTTATATTAGTTGTTTAAATTACAAATCATTTGCCCTTAATTTTTTTTTTTAATTGCGTAAAATTATAAACTCACTTTAAGTAATTTATTCCACGGTGCCTTGATATCCATACACTCAGTATCTTGCCAAATTTTACTATAGTATAAAGCCTGAAACAATTTTTTATAATTTATAATTCATGTGATTAATTAAAATTTGTAAAATACAAATTATATTTGAATTTCAAATTCATAATTTTGAAACATATTCAATTCAAAGAACAATCACAATATGAAAGTAAAAGATGAAAATTTTAACTCGAAATTCTAAACGTAATACTAACAATACATGTAAAATACAACAATCAAATAAATACTTTTTGAGAATATGGTTGAGAGTATGGTCATAAATGTGAAATGTACAACATTTTTTTCTTTTATAAGAATAAAATCTAATAAGATAGAATACAAAGTAATATTTACATTAATTGTGGTTGGTTGGTTTAATGACAACACATATTGAAACCAAGTTACTAATTGACCCTGGTCAGCGGCATCAGCTATATGTTCACACATATATTCAACACACAGTACTGTAAGATCCTAAAATATGTTAAAGTATAGTTACATTTTTTGTCATGTGAAATTGATCTTTAAACTGTACAATATACCTTGACATTATACTTGTCAGCCAACACTAGCATTGGCATAATATTAGATTGCTCGAGCGTTATTACACCAGTATAAAAATATTGGAGAAAAACTGGAAATACTTCGATACACTGTGGCACTTCTTGTAGCTCGATGACTTCTTGATGCGAGTCACTCCATATTGAGTTCATTAACATGGTCTGTTAAGTTAAAGTAATAAGTATTTACATTTTAATTAATTTTGAATTGAAAATCACCTCAAACACATCGCTGGATATACATAACATGAAGCGGTGAGCCGGATATGATATTCCACCCACGATGAGGGTAATATCATTTAATAGTTTGTTGGCGTAGACATTTTGAATTTTTTTTAATAGAGCGTTTGAATTATCATTCTAAATGGGAATTTATACATTTTTAAAAATTACGATATGCTGACAGTTTATAATTATTATGATATAGGTAACTCACAACATTAGGCATAGCATATGAATGATCCATTTCACATTCAGCAGACATTCTTCGTCGCTTCATTCCCAATCAATAAAATTAATAAATGCGTTTGTAGGAATATTTTTAAATTAAATCATAGTTTGTATAATAATTAGTAATTAGTAATTACTACAACTAATAAATTCATTTTTGATTTGTATTTTGTTTTAACTTTTAATCTATTATTTCAAATTATCAAATTTCTTATCAAACCTAAGATAACAGAATCAATATAAAAACTAAAAAAAATACATGGGATTATAAATTATTGTCAGTGAGCGAGATCATAATTATTTAYGAATGGATCTTCGCAGGAAAACACTCCAGATCCATGACGTCATTAGTTAGTGTTATCAATATTGTCCTTATCAAATGTTATGGTGATTAAATGCGCGGTGATTTATTTTTAGCATATTTTGTTTAAATGTAGTTTTGAATGTGCTTTACGCTGTGATATATTGTGCCATATTTGTATACATTCTTACAAATACAAATGTACTTCCTTGAATGATGTTATAAACTATAGCATTTGTAAACACATTCATCCATCCGATCCATGCACTGCAGGCTGCAGCAGGTRAACCAAACCAAATATTAAACTTTGAATCAAAAGTTCCTGTACTGTAATGACACCAGTTAATARCCCATTAGTGATAGATCGTGTTAACAGTAAAATAACAAATAAAATAGAGATGWTACTGGAATGTGCAATCGAACAAATTTAAATGACGAAGACCAGAATAATGTTTTAAAACACTGTGACAAAATACTTGATATATTTGCTAACAATAAGAACTTGAGTTTCAAAAAAAACGTAGATAAATTTAAAAAGTAAAATAGAACTGCAAGCTCGTTTTATGCAAAAAAAAAAAAACTGGAAACAACTATTTTTTCTTCTGCTGAAGAATTAATTATTAAAAAAATCACGCTTTCACCAGTTTCACCCACAAATTAAGATATAATATATTAAATTGTGGTTTCACCTAAAAGCACAGATAGCAAAAATTTTAAATTATATTCTATAGTATATGGCATACTGGTTTTATTTTTATTTATAAGGAATTTGATTGTACTTGACTTTAAAAAAAAAAAAAATGTTGACATAAATCTCGTTTAACGGCCACGCAAATTTTTCGTTATTTTATTTAATCAGAAACATAAGCATTTCAATAARCTTATAACAATGGTGCAAAATTAATTTTCGAAAATGTATAGTTTTGAAGTTATAGACTTGTGAAGTTACGATTTTATGTTTATACGCCTGCGAGTATAACATTATTTCAATGCCRCGTGGGCTGTGGAATAGAGTTAGTCGAGTATCGAGTTGTTTACTCGGACTGTTGGTAGCCTAGTAGCTAGGTAGTCACCGGCGGGGCTGGTAGGTGAAGTGGGTACCTTAAGTTTGGTGACCAAAGTTGGTAGGCGAATAGATCCACTGACCACTATACTTGTGGTACCTACTTTGACTATCAAGGGGAAGTTTATTTGTTAGGGGATCCGTCTGCTAAAGCGCAGTGATGATTTCCCCACACCACCCCGAAAGGGTAGCCGACCTTCCCATCGCTACATGTTGGCTATTTTAGCCCCAGGGGCATAGGCGTAACTAGACCTTAAAGTTAGGGGGGGCTGAAGCCCTAACATATTTAATATATATAACAAATTTTAGTACATTACTACATTATAGTAAAATAATTTTTCTATAATGACAATCAAAATTTTTTTTCCCAAAAGCTAGTTTAAGCTACTTGTACTAAAAATAAATACCTAATTAATTAGTATTTATTAAAAGCAATTTAAAAATGACATTTAATCTTTAAAAACGTAGAMTGGCAGTCTATGCTCAWATTCAATTTGATTGATTGATTATTAAATTCAAATTTAGCACACCCATTACAGTGACCTACTTCATCTCAGATACACACAACACATATAAAAGAGCAGAGCATTTTTTTAGATTTTTTTTTTATTGGTCTTCAATAGTGTTTAGTTTTTGCAACTTATTGTTGCGCTCTACCAGCAACATTGTAATCATAGTATGTACTCTACCATTTGTTATTGAGCAGCAATATTTATACAATATTATATTTCTGAAAGCAGTTTACTCAGTTTAGTAGTGAATGTAAAAATGGTTTTAATAACAACATAAATAATACTTGGTTATTAAAAATTATTACAATAGGTAGTCATAACAATAACCGAAACGTACCCTAAATAGGTATATATTTCATAAATAATATTATTTGTAGACTAATAATTAATAATGCATACTCTTTCTACAGAACCAGATTTAAAGTAACCCACCAAGATTTTCTCGATAAGTTCTTATTCAATCCAAGCCTGRTTTTGTATTAAAATCAGCAAATAAAAAATACACAAAATAATATTGATAAAATATAATTTTAATTATGAAAATATTGATCAATTTAATAGTAATTTTGAAGTCAACACAAATAGTTCCTTAGTGTTTTTTTCGATAAGAACATCCTGAAAAATAATATATAGATTCATTAGTCATCAATTTATTGTAAGAGAATGTCAGAACTTAACACACTTTTTATTTATCACTCTGGCCCGGTAGCCCATGTAAATCTAACATTCCAAATTTGCAAAATCAATCATTTGCTTTTAAGTTTTAGTTCTTATTTAAATAAGTTGACTTATTGTTAAACTTAAAATTAGGAATATTTTTTTGTATGTACATTTAGTTACTATACATTTCAATTTATGTACAAGCTGAGCATGTAAAATATTACAATATAAAAATTATGATATATTGCAAATAATTTGAAATATCATAAAAAAAATCAATGTGCAATTACAGATAATACCTTATCAAAAGTTATAAATTTAAGTATTAAGAAGACGTTATACCCACATGTATTTCTACTTCTAACTAGAGTGTAACATAGCAAATTTTAAACTCAGCAGATCATGTTTAGCTTCGCGATTTTAAAATTTAGAGTGAATTGACCTTTTATAAAAATTGAACGTAACATAATTATTGAAGATATCTCATAGGCTTTTTATTATATCTTAATTTTAAAATGAGTTATGAGTAGGGCTGGGATTTCGATGCACTTTGCATTGTTTTTTCAAAGCTTACTGTGCAATGCTCGTCTTGTCACAAATTTGTTTTATGTACATTTGAATGAGAATAAGAAAGTTTTTTTGCATTTTTTAGTTTTTAGGTCATTTTCTTAATTTTTTAGGGCATTTTAGAGTTTTTGGAGCATTTTTTGAGTTTTTAGAAATCAAGTGTACCTATGAAACTTGAACGAAGTCCACGTCTATGAGATTAAGTCTATCCAACTTTTTTAATAGATTCATACTAAAACTATGTATTTACAGTTTACACTTGTAATAGATTTTTATAATGTATTTTTTAAAACTTTTTATTATAATTTATACTAAAATTATTAAAAATTAAAAAATTTGTAGATTTATTGTCCTTTTTTTAGGGCATTTTTCGGGGTTTTTTAGGGCATTATTAAGAGTTTTTATGTCATAAAAGCATTTTTTTAGGACATTTTTCGGGGTTTTTGAGGGCATTAAAATCCCAGCCCTAGTTATGAGTATTTTAAGATATTCAATCAATTTACAATTTTAAAATACTCATAAACACAGTTTAAAATTAAAATATAATAAAAATCCTATGAGAACCTCATGATCTGCTGAGCTTAAAATTTGCCATATTACGCACTTGTAAGATGGAGACAACACATGCAGGTAAAACGTCATCTTATAGAGAAAATAAACATTGTACATACATTCTCTTAAGAATAACACCCGRCCATGGTAGGTAAGATAAAGTAACTACGCTTTTAGCATATGTTATCTTACACACCATGGTTAAGTGCTTAGATCATATACTATGGTGCTAATGGATAGATCTACTRGCTAAATATTTGAAGCCAACATAACAGGGTGAATTGTGGAAAATGCGCATGCGCGGAATGTATATCTCTCATACTACCTGGAAAAGTATATTTCTAACTTTTATTAAGTTTTATAATAATTATGCATGAACAATAGATATCAGTCACTTTAATAACGGTGTCTCCAACACATAGTATACGTTTATAATACAGTAGCTTTATCCATAGTATATGATCTAAGGTTGGGCATCTAAGACACAGCGTAAAAGTAATAGTAACCAATAGATTATAATTTTTATTTTTGATTGTATTCTTGAAAAAACATATATCAATAAAATAAAATGATTTATTTAATTACCGTCAGACAATTTTCCTTTGCCTCCAGTTGGTCTRCAAAGTACTATTAGACAACCATCACATCTTACTTTCTCTTGAACATGGCTAAAAACGGTTTTAATTTTGTAACAACCTACAAATAAAATTATAAAAATATATTTCATTTTTTATTTAAGTATACATTAATTAAATAAAAATTATATTACCTGGACACTTGATATCCATAAAATATGAATTTGGACGAGGTACAAGCCGCTTCAATTTGTGGGTACTTAAATCTTGTGTAGCAGATGGATGAAGTATACTTTTGGCTAACTAAATAAATAAAATTGTAATACAATCATTCTAAATAATATAAAATAAAAGTGTAAATTTATGATTCTTTAAAAAGTAGATATACTGATACAAAATTAGTATGTGATCATAGATAATGTTAATAAATGCTTATTATTTAATAGGAATAATAATTAAATAAAACTAAAATGATGAATTAATTTAAATGCTTAAATATTCTAAATTATTGATTTTTATGGTTTAAAATCACTACTTAGATATGAATCCAGCATAGATGTATGTGCGAGGTTATTGGAATATAGGATATTAGTTCATAAGATAGATAGTTCTTAGGAACGCAAGAGCTCTTTTCTATCATTAAAAAAATTTTTTTTCTTTAAATACATACCTCAAAATTAATTAATTTTAAATTTAATTTCAAAAATTTGACTAAGATATATTTATTGAAAAAGCTACAAACAAATTAAATCAGTTAAACATTTTAATGCTAATAAATTCAGGTACTGAACATATTTTTATAAAAATTTAGGTAGGTAGGTTACTAATAAGAAAATTAATACATTAAAATATAAGTTGTGATTTAATTTAATTATTGCACTTATTTCATACTGAAGGGCCCAATTTATTTTATTGCATACTCAGCCAATAAAGTCCACCATGATTCCTATGATAGGTCATTGAYTTATCGTAATAGAATCAAGCCCTTTTAAGGACATTGGATTTTAGTTTAAAAGAAKGGAAAAATATTAATACAACTACAAAAGTGTTAGCATAAATCATGATTGATTAACTTATGTTAAAATTACAGTTATAAAATATTAAACTGTAACTGTAATTCTTGAATCACAAATTTGAGCTAATTTATAGGTACTTTGATTTAAATATTTTTAAGTATCAAGTAACTGTTAATAAGTATTTTTTGATATCATGAGGTTTTTTCAAATGTTTATCTCACAAGCAAATGTAACAAAAAGTAATATTKTTAAGTGAATTCGATCTCTTTCTATTTTAAAAATATTTTAATATTACTGGATCATAATAATAAATTAAYTGTAATTTAAGTGCTAATAAAGACGTAAATCTACTCAATGAAATGCAATTACATTTAAATAACTTTAACATTTAGTACTTACAGGCATTTTAAATCAACACATATAAATATCTGTAAAGTAGTTAAGAAACGTCGAACTTTCTAAAAGCATTCAACGAGATGAACAGTAGCAGCTGACAATTTCTAATTTTTATGCAACGTTCAAAGAAAATTGGAAGATCGTCAACGWGYGTAATAAGGAATTATTTGTAATTATTTGTATCAGCACTAATAATTACACAAACAATAATTATTGTACTATTAAGTTCAGATCTGTATCAAAGCCACAACGCGCCGACAAACCATTATTTATTACAAATTTACAATACTCTTATATCTATAATCTATATAATAGTATACCAGTTTATGACATATCAGTATATTATTATGGTATACGTATACACCATGTCAAAACAAATCATGTTTTCCATAGTATGTAGGTATTTACTATTTAATAATAATATCGTATATGATTCCATTTCTAACTCCGGTATGTGAAGTGCGAAACGRTTTCGGCAATTTTAAATAAATGTCATGCAAGATTTTCAAAGAAGAAATTGGAGTGTATCGATACGTATCGAAGGTTATAAATATATAATGTATCGGAGAAGAATGAAGATACACGTTCACTATACAAGCGATACGTACCGGCCTGTACCGGTCTTAGACTTCGATACGAGTCGGTACGTATCGAAACGCATCGAATTCTTCTTCTTGAAAATCTTGATAGTTTAACCTTAAATATTGTCTTTCTACCAATTTAATCTATAGTATAGTTTTCATGGAATAAATGTTGATAAAATATAAAACATTGAAATTACTAGTTATTTTTAAAAGATTTTGAGAATTWAAAAAATTATATTAGTATGGTCATCGTCCATCGACAACAAAATTGCACGTCATTTTCAATTTCACCATACAACAATAATTTTACCAAAGAACGTTTCCGGAATAAATTATTGTCATTAACCATAATGGTAACGTTCGGTACATATCTCGCCMCTCCCACTTATACCGTGGTCAGACATAACCTGCATGTCTGAAATTCTTGAAAATCAGTCGTCGTGCAGTTTGTTTACATTCTGTAAGTCGACCTAGCCGTTCTTTTCGTTTTTCCCGTCGTGTTACACTAACGTCAGAGACACAAGATGGGTAAGTAAAATTCATCCATTTACATCCGCTTAAATATTTCATTTACACTTTTGAACTACTCTTATTCAATTAATGTCTTGTCGATGGCAGCTCTTTTTTATCGTTTTGATCAGGTCCTGATGTCTCGCGCACATAATTTAATTTATCCAAAATATTACTTGCAGTTATCTATTAGACACTCGTGCAGCCTAATAACGTCTACGTTTTTCGTTTAAGGTATATCCCGTGATACATGGCATAAACGCAGGAAGACCGGAGGCAAGCGCAAGCCTCTCCGCAAGAAGAGGAAGTATGAATTAGGTCGTCCAGCCGCCAATACCAAGGTATAACATTTGTACTAATTATAAGATATGTTTTCTGAAATCATCTGATACGTTAAGTTCTTCGGTTTGCTAACAGTTAATCAATCAAAACTTGTTAAAAGTATTCTATTAAAATATATATTTTAATTGCATTGATGATGAGACGAACGACTGAATGTTTATGACGATATTCATAATTTATTTTTCACCTCTAACGTTCTGATATGCTTTTTTGATCTATGTTCAATGTACTTTTATATTATTATTATACTAAGAACTATATATTATCTTATTGAGCTACATTGTGAATAATAATTAAATTTAGCATTTATGATGAGACTTTTGTCTGAATATTTTTGAAGATATATTTAATATTTTTCACCTCTAACGTTCTGATTTGCTAAATTTAGGTATTTGGTTTTTATTTTTAAAAGTTTATTGTTGGATATTTCAATATTGTATTTCCATGTACCTTTGATTTTAACGACAAGAGTACCTATATATGATGAGACTTCTATCCGAATACAAATGAAGATATTATTCATTATTTTCACCTCTAACGTTCTGATTTATATTATGCTTTTAAAAGTTACAATTTATTATCTTTCAAACAATATTTCTTCGTTAACAAATAATAATTTAAAAACTTTTGATTGTTTTTTTTATTCCAATTTTATTGAGCTATAACAGTAGTCTATATTATGTCTATATATGATGAGATTTGTTTATATGAAGAACTAATGATTAATTTAATCTATCCGCTTATTAATATTCTGATATAGACTATATATTGTTATTGTTAGGAATATGAGGAATATTCTATAGTATACTAATCTATACAGTACTTTTATGTAACTATAATTTAAAGAATTGTTTATGATGAGACTTGTATCCGAGTATTAATGAAGATATTTTATATTTTTCACCTCTAACGTTCTGATATAAACTTGCTTCTAGATCTATAAATTATATATTTACACTGTTTATTTTTTCATGAACTAATATTATTTGAAGCATTTTAATATATTTGCCAAAAATTACTTTTTAATTCTAAATGTTATCAATGTGTAGGTAACTTAGTTAATTTTTGTCTTTTTATGATGAGATCAGTTATACTGAAGAATTAATGATTAATTCAATCTATCCGCTTATTAATATCCTGAAATAGACTAGTATAGGTTTTTTCTTGATAATATTGTTCTTTTTTTTGTTACATAAAAATATTAAAAAACAAACTAATGAACAAAAAGTCAAAAAATTTAAATGGTTATAATGATTAACATAAATGTTATATTAGTTGAACATTAATTAAAAAAACCATTCCTAAAAATTATTTTAATTATTTTGTAACAAATGATTAAATTGTTAAATTGCTTTAAGTAATCACGAATTATGTATTTATTTTAGATTTTTTTATGGAATTAATTTTATTCCAAACTTAATTGAGCTGTGATCAAATACAATTTTCGTCTATTTATGATGAGATTAGTTATACTGAAGAATTAATGATTAATTTTATCTATCCGCTTATTAATATCCTGAAATAGACTGAATAATTGTCTTGATATTATTATATGTTTTCTGTTATATAATAATATTGAAAAAAATAACTTTTATTTATAACAATAAATTAAATTATGATCAAATATATTAGTTTGTAATAATATCCTCGAATAAGTTAAAATTTCTATATCCATTTCTAGCTATTGTTGTTAAAATAGGTACTATAAATATTATATATCAGTTTTATTATATTACTCTTAATTATTTTTAGCTTGGAGCTCGCCGTGTACACATTGTTCGTACCAGGGGAGGTAACAAGAAATACAGAGCATTAAGATTAGATCAAGGAAATTTTTCATGGGGTTCTGAAGGTATGTTAAACTATGAAATTAATTTTATACTTTTTTCCTGATTGTATAATATACTTATTTGCCCTAGGTATTTCTGCTAAAACTCGTATCATTGATGTTGTCTACAATGCATCAAACAATGAGTTGGTCAGAACCAAAACTTTGGTTAAGAACGCTATTGTAGTTATTGATGCGACACCATTCCGTCAATGGTATGAAGGCCATTATGCCTTACCTATTGGAAGAAGGAAGACTACGAAATTAGTATGTATTTTTTTAATATTAAGTTAATAATTATTTTTCTAGTATTAATTTATTTAATGAAAAATGTTAACTCACATGTGATATTATCATACATGATACACTACAGTTTGTATTGCTCTATGATGAACCTTCATTATTGATAGGAATTGCCGTCTGATTAAYTGATGACCGTGTACTATCTGAGAGCACACATCCATTTTCATGTAATGATATATTAAGTCCAAATTCAAATGATGAGTAATTTTTCGGTTCCTGAAATATTCATATGAGGATAATATGACTTATTCCGCAGCGCTCTGATGATAAGTTTAATAAAGAATCTGCTAGGATCAATCTTTTTGATAGGAATTGCCGTCTGATAATTGATGACCGTTTACTAGCTGAGAGCAGAAATGT